TGACTTTACTACCGTACCAAACCCTCCTGAATCTTCCTGCGGGTGGTGAGTCCACTGGAAGGTACCAACCGCCCTAACCGGGATTCGACCACGCCCAGGAGGTCCAATCCAATCCAAATAATAATACTCGATCCGATACGCAGGATCCGTATCGGTCTGACATTGGTCAAAATTTCAGGATCGAACATCGGGGGAAAAAAACAAAAACAAAACTACAGCCCGTCCGATCTCGTACCAATGCTCAACTTAACCATGTGCGACATGCTGTAAACGGGGACACAATCACCTTAGAAGGTATCGGAAGGTATGGAAGCTGCGTATGGGTATCGGATATGAAGGAGTTGTATCAAGCCGTCCCCACGCAAAACTAGAAAGAGTTAAGAGAATAAAAGCAAAACTTGCTAAGCTAAAAGGGTATAGAAATAGATAATTCAATTTGCGAAAAACAGCAAAGGGTTAAAAGTCAGTATAAAATATAACATATCAAGTAAATCTAAATGTTCTGCTAAAACTTAGCCCTTATAAAATTATAGCCAAAATGTATTGAAAAAAAAAAAGCAAAATGACACAAGTTGTAATGACTTATTTAACTGTCGTAGAGCAGGGGTCCCCAACCCCCGGTTCGAGGACCAGTGATGGTCCGTAGGTCATTTGGTACCGGGTCGCAGTGGAAAAAAACGTAATTTGTAGTTTTACTAATTTACTTCATTCCAAAAGAATCCAGTCATATCCCTTTACTTTTTTTTCATTCAAAGATAATCTGACAATGTTTCAAACAATAGGTAATGAAAGATATTTCTTAAAAAAATGTAATGATCCTTTAATGATACCAGCCAGCAGATTGTGTGTGTGTGTGTCTCTGTGTGTGTGATGATGGCAGGGAAAAATTTTTCCCCACTCACTGTGAAGCTGTTGTTGACATTCTTGGTGCTGGACTCAGCGACGCTGGCGTCCGACAGATCAACCTCATCAAAGATAAGAGACTGGAAACCAGACACGAGCGAATGGGGTGGAGTCAAGAGGGGGGGCGTCCGACGGAGAGAGAGAGAGAGAGAGGATGGCAGGGAAAAACAGAGAGAGAGCGAGAGGGAGAGAGAGAGAGAGACAGTCAGTGTGTGTGAGTGTGTGTGTGTTTGCAAGAGCGTATAAAGCTCTACGCTGATTGGCCGTGAAGGTGCGAGGCTGAAGCGTTCTTATTTGTAGACACGGAGAAGCGGAATCTACAATGACAGGCATGAAACCACTCACTGACAGTGTGTGTGTGTGTGTGTGTGTGTGAGTGTGTGTGTGTGTGTTGATGCAGCTGTCACAGGGAATGCCCTGTTAAGTACTGTTCAGGCTGGAGTGGAGAGTGGACAACAGCCAGAGAGCAAACGATTATGCCGCTGTTTGTGTGTGTGTGTAAAATATGATTGGCATGTCAACACACACACACATGCACACACGCGTACAAGTGGACGGTGTCTTCTCTGATCCACAAAGCTACTCAGCGGCTATACTTAAGCAACACTTGTCCTACACTTACCTTAACATGTAGCGTTACAACGCAAAGCTGCGTTTAGACCAGGGGTGTCAAACTCATTCTGGGTTCGGGGGCCCGCATGCGGCCCGCAATTAAAGGTCAAGTGGGCCGGACCAGTGCAATCATAACATAATTATCTATAAATAACTATAAGTCCATGTTTTTTTCCCCTTTTGTTTTCATACAAAAAATGGATGGATTTTTTCATACAAAAAAATACAAGTAAAGATAATTATTATTATTATGTATTCATATATAATGAAAAATTATTTTTACATAAGTAATCCTAAACATGAAGTATTTTTTTTTTAGTTTTAAAAATTCATCATCATGGGCCAGATTGAACAGCCTTGCGGCCCCGGTTTTGGCCCGCGCGCCATATGTTTGACAGCCCTGGTTTTAGACTACATTGCCTTTATCTCACTGTTACAGAGACATTGTCACCAAGAAAACAAAGTCTGTAAACTATTCAACGCATTGAGGAAATTGGTAGATGACAGGGGGGAAAAACAAGATGCTGCCTCACTGCTGCCTCCTGTGGTCAAGGCAGGTTATTATATAATATAATCAGGACATTTGTCATGGAAAACTATACATTAAAAAAAAAACTCTTATTTTATCTGAGTTCCTCACAGTCGTTCTACACCCACTGCTCTGAAGTCACCAAACCAGCTGCTGCTGGCAGGCTACACAGGAAGAGCCTACCCAATCAGGATGAAGCTGCCCAAAAAAAAAAAAAAAAAAAAAAAAAATATGTATCTTGACTTACAGTTTTACTTTCATCTTTGTTTATTATTTTTTTTGGTAGATTTTGTACTTATTTTTTTCAAAATTAATATAATGGTAAATAAGGGTCATTCTGTTAGCATTAGCATATGTAAAGCATGTGGTTCACTGAGGTTCTCCACCAATAAACTTTGAGTTGATCGGACTCGACACTCTTCAGTTTTCCGTCGGGAGAGGACGTTCAACAGTGAGATAAGACGGTGACGATGTTCTTATTTCATGAGTATTTAAGTCTAAATACCAGGTCGTGTCCTATCTGACACTGACAGCTAGCCTTAGCTTCGGTAGTGTGTCGGCGCTTTATACAACCAGACTAAGAACGCCGTAAGGTATCTCAGCATTCTTACTGCGGTCAGAGAAGATGAAATGAAAGTGCTAAGATGCAGCCTACTCACGGATCAGCATGGTAAGCATAGAAATGTAAGGCATGGACTCTTATCTAAACGTCTAAACCTGATATACAAAATTGGACAAGCGAGAGAGAGAGAGAGAAAGAGAGAACATTTTAAAATTCCCCAGTTAAATACTGGTAATGTGATGTTCAGAAGTCGGCAACTGAACTGACATCAGGTGTCTGCAGATGCGTCACCTTTCATCCAAGAGGCTTTTTTTCAGTTTTGTCGGTATGGTTTTTGTTCAGCACTCTCAACTTGACCAATCACGCATTCATGTCGTACAAAAACAAGTTCGCACTCTCAACTTGACCAATCAGCCACTTACTGTGAATATACAACGCATTCATGTCGTACAAAAACAAGTTCGGCTTAAAAAAGGATATTGTTTTTCGTAGACACAAAAGAAAAAAAAAATTATGAAATGACAAAAGCTAGTAAATCTATTTTCTGCTTATCTATTATGTGTACATCTCAAAATACTTTAAAATATGCCAAGAGATCACGAAAGCCTTAAAATAGACAACAAGTAGCCAAAATAACTAGGGATGTCCGATATTAACTTTTTGCTGATATCCAATAGGCCTATGTTGTCCACACACTAAACGTCCGATTCCGATATCAACTGATACTGATATATATGCATCCGTTTACCCCCAAAAATGAGGTCAACGTCTCGGGACCCCACAAGCGACTCCAGCATATTTGGCGAATCCCAGGCATATCCGTTTACCGCCAAAACTGAGGTCAACGTCTCGGGACTCTACAAGCGACTACAGCATATTTGGCGAATCCCAGGCGTTATCGGATTTTCATTATCGGTGGTAAAACCGATAACAATTCTTACAGATATTACATAATTATGCTAATATCGGGCCGATACTATCGATCGGCCAATGTTATCGGACATCCCTAAAAAAAAAAAAAACGTAATTCAAACAATGTAGGATAAATTGAGTGAAGGAGACTCTAATGAAGTATCCCCACATGTTTGAACTCTGCTAGCGCTACCATAGCCGACAAAGCTTCTATAGATGCTAACGCTGCCAGTGCTACAAAAGCTGCTAATGTTTCTACAGGTGCTATAGCTGCTCAAACGGCTGAAGCTACTAAATGTTGTACAGCTGCTTAATTAAAAAAAAAAAAAAAAAAAAAAAAAGGCTACGTTGCTAAATTTGCTAAAGCTGCGGCCCCAGGGCTCCTGGCAGCACTGCGCTGACCCGTGTATTCACTAGGCCTTCCTCAGATCCACCGGCAGCCAGAGCAGAGGGGGAGTGCCGACCGCCCGTCCAGCGCAGGGACAGAACTCGCCAGCACACACGACTCCTGGACACTCGCTGCAGCGCCCTCTCCTGCCAGCGGGACAAAGCGCTGCCGGACTATACAGTACGTGCATGTTACATACATATACACATACACACACACACACAGACATGTTTCAGAGCAGAAAGGTGTAATAGAAAATACAACAAATGATTAAAGTGGAAAAGAAAAAAATGTTTGAGAAAAACTACATGAAAATAGAAAGATAAATTAAAGAAAGAAAGAGATTAAGGCAGAGGAAACAGGATCGTTGGAATGTTTGTTTAAGGTTTATCCACATTCTTTTTTTTGTTTTGCAAGTTTTGCATTTGGCCAAAAAAATGTTTATTTTTGTTTTTGTTATTTTTAACATTTTGGCAATACTGCCATTTTTGCAGTAATTTTTGGTCATGTTTTGGGTATCTTGTATAATATTTACCATTAACTAATATTAAGCTATTCCGGGTTCACGGGTTACTTTCTTTTCTAAAGACATATTGACAATACTATATGTTATAATTCAATGACAATTTATAGGCAAAATAATTATATTATTTACTAATTATTTGATTATTTTTATTATCTATTCTTCTACAAGACATTTACTGGTTTCTGAAACTGAGGAAATTTAATTTTTAACATTTTTTATTATTCTTTTGTTGCTGTCTAGATCAGTGATTTCCAACCACTGGGACATGGAAAATTGTCTTAATGTCAATAGAGGCAGAACAATTAAATCCTCATCCACTAGGGGCAGCTGATAGCGAAGAAAACTGAAAAAAAAAAAAAGAGAATCAGAGCTGTCGAAGAAGATCTTTGCGAGTGTCTTTCTTCAATTCCTGCCAGTATATCAGCGTTGTCTTCAAATAAACCGGCCGAGATTGTGGTGAATTGTGGGTACAGTGGAACCCCTAAATATGAGCTTCCTGGAATATGAGTTTTCACAGTTCCGAATCTGCAACTACTGCAAGATTTTTTTTGTTACGAGTTGTTCAACTGAGGACTTCCATCCATTCAGTCGTACGTCACGAGGAAGCCGTGACCTGCAAGATTTTTTTTCCTTGTGATTTGAAGAAATATCTAGCTTTTTTTTTATCAGTGTTTAGGGTAAATATGCTGCTACACATCCATGTGTGTCTGTGGGTGTATTTGATCATTTTTTTCGTTACTAACCTTGGCATCTTTGGCATAGTACAGCGTGCGTCCTCTCAGTTTGAAGTAGCGTTTCTTCCACCTCTGGAAAGAGCTCGTCTGTTTCAGCAGCAGTCCCTCCTTTATACTGGTCTGATTGCACACAAACACAACACACAATTACACGACACGTCTCTACAGGTTGCCAGTTTTTTTTTTGTTTTTTTTTGTACTTTTTCAGCCGATTGCCATATAAATACTGTATATTGAACATAATCGCCTTAATTATGGTCATTTTACTAATGTAACTGTTGTAGCTATATTTGTACTCCTTCTAAGCGCCTGTGGGTGCTTCAACTATTTTTTTTTTAAATCGCTTTAAGATGTACCCACCGGGGCGACACAGATGGAAATGGGTGGAAATACCATGAATATAATTCTCTGGGTACAGACAGGAGAGGTGCTACACACACACAACATCAGTTATTTTTAGCAGAGGAAGACTGCTGTTGCCGTTTCTGCTGCCGCTGCTGCTGCTGCGGCCGCCGTAAAATTGAGGGCAGAATTACAAACAGACACTAAGGCCTGAAGCTAACATCCTGCCCACCAGCTGTGTCAACATAAACACAGAAAACACAACACACACACAATCAACCACACACACACACCGTATGTCAAACGCACAGAGGCAACAATAAAAAAAAAAAAAAAAAAAACGACTCTTCGATCAGATCAGACCAGTTGTACCAGAACAGAGTTGCATAAAATTAGTATTAATATTACACCACGGTACATTATGTAAACCGCACACCATGATGCAGCTCATCGAGGGACCTTTTAGTTTAGCATTTATTTCCAATCCGAGAACAAATATCAAATATACTACTTCAATATATAATTAAATAGATACTTCATTTTAATGAAAAAAAAATACTATTTTTTTTTTTTTTCTGGGTTGAGTTCGAAATGTTCCAGATGTCACGCGCGCGCATTATTTCCTGCAATCGTCCCTGAGCTCTGAAGACATATGAATCCTGCGCTGGATTAAGGTGAAATACCTCCACGCTGACTTCCCTATAAGGCCGTCAGCAACACGGAAAACAGGGACTGGAACGCGAGCGCAAGCGAGTGAAGTCATCTCCTCATTTAGACGTGTTCAGGAGAAGCAGAGGTGAGGAGGAGGAGAAGAGGAGGAGGAGGAGGAGGAGGAGGAGGAGGAGGAGGAGAGAGAGCTC